ATAGACATGATCTTAGAGATAACACTTTCACCGTCCGAATCTTCAGGGATCGGTCTTCTGCCAGGAGATTCACTTGTTGGCTTATAATGCGCAGACAACATAGTTCTTTCTGAAGACACTGACAAAATGCAATCTTCTGACCACCTTGAGAAAAAATACAAGTGTGTTGTTGGGATATTCAGAAAAATATCCCAAAAATTATCCTGCTAAGTCTAATGCTATCCTTGAACGTGAAATGGTGTCATTTTCCTATTGGTCAATATTCATTTTACGTGTCATTTTCCTGTTGGTCAATATTCACGGTAGTCCTAACTGTATAAATATGCATTTGTCTGTAACGTATCATTCCTATTCTTCTCCTGGCCCCATAAACGATTTCATCTACGATTCGTGTTCTGATATATTGGAGTCGTACTGGGATATCTGAAGTTGGTCAGTCGGTAGAAATTAGAGTAGCCACCCCGCGGTCCACAATACGTGTCTGGGATGCTGTTCTTTCCGTCCAAATGTAAAATATTACTTCAGGATTGGCTTCTGTCATCGCCTAAATTAGTGATAAGGAGTCAAGTGGTTGAACGCACCAATCGCTCCATTTATTTTGGGAGTTTCATCAGTACTAATGGTTTGGCGTCTGAAGAAATCTCAGCTTGGATTCAGGAGGCTCGATTGGTTTTCACGAACTTGCGTAGGCGAAGTGCGAGTTTAGTACTCAGCAGTTAGCTCAGTTTTACGTTGTTGATGTGAAACATGTCTATTAAGAGTAGAGGATATTCGTACGTTACTGGTATCCGATCATAAGTGCCTACGATGCATTGTTAGTGTATTTTGGGACCACCGAGTAAGCAATGTATGAGTTAGGAACAGAGTGCTGAGTAAAGATGGGGAGTCAGTCTTTGAGCTAGTAAATATTTATCAACTTCCCGTAGAAAACTAAGTCGCTAAAAAAACACTGAACAGAAAAAATTATTGAAACCATTTAAACTCTGCCCTGGGAGTTGTAAGGTCTTCATTTATGACGTCTCTTTATGAAGACTGAGTCCTTTCAGTAGTCACGAGGCTGGTGCCTCTTCTGACAAGCGCAACCATGAATTTAGGTACATGGAATGTTCGTACTACGTGCGAGACCGGGAGAGTTATCCAAGTTGCTGCAGAAATGAAGATACAACCTGGAGGTGTTTGGAACCAGTGAAACACATTGGATACAGGTTGAACAACAAAGACTAGCTTCAGGATAGATGCTGTTATACTCCGGCCATGATAAAGAAAGTGCTCCACATGTACAAGGAGTTGCACTGGTGCTATCCATACAAGCACAAAAAACACTTATAGGGTGGGAATCTCATGGACCCAGGATCATCAAAGCCTTCTTCAAAACAAAGAAAGAGGGCATTGCAATGAACGTCATCCAATGCTATGCGCCTATCAACGACTGTAATGAAGACGTTAAAGATCAATTCTACGATAGGCTGCAGTCAATCCTCGGGAAATGCCCAACAAAGGACTTGACCATTCTAAGAGACCTAAATGCAAAGTTGGGAATGAACAACACCGGATATGAAGACATCATAGGACGACATTGACTGGAAGAAAAGAAAGAAAATAGTGAGAGATTTGCAAACCTATGTGCCTTCAACAAACTGGTCATAGGCGGCACCATATTCCCACATAAACGCATACACAAAGCTACATGGATTTCACCGTGTCACTATACTAAACCAAACCGACCGTACCTGTATCAACAAAAAGTTCAGGAGGACATGAGAACCAAGGGAGGAGCTGATATAAACTCACTTCCTGGTCGCCAAGATGAAACGGAAACTCAAGAAGCACTGAACAACAGGGCGGACGTCACAAAAGTTTAATACGGCTTTTCTTTGAGATGCTGACAAACTCAACAAATTCAAGATAGCCCTCAGCAATAGGATCCATGCCTTTCACGATCCACTCAGTCGAGAGGGAACTACCATGGAGAACAACTAGGAAGGGATCAAGGGGGTAATCACTTCAACATGCTATGAGGTTCTGGGCCGCAAGAAGCACCATCACAGGGAATGGGCCACTGTTGATATACTGGATTCAAGAAAGAAGGCAGCATTCAATACCAGCCGAACAAGAGTAGAAAAAGCCAAGGCACAAGTTGAATACACAGAAGTAAACAAGCAAGTGAAGAGGAGCATCAGAACCGACAAACGTAAACATGTGGAAGATTTAGCAATGATGGCGAAAAAGTCTGCAAAAGTAGGAAACAATTGTATGACACAACAAAGAAACTCGCTGAAAATTATCGTAAACCAGGACGATCAGTGAAAAGCAGGGAAGGCAAAGTAATCACCAACAGTGAAACAGTTTGGTAGAACTCTTAAAAGAGCTTTTGAATCGATCAGCCCCACTGGACCCACCCAACATCGAAGTAGCACCCACGGACCTCCCAATAAATGCTGGCCCACCAACAATTAAAGAGATTAGCATGACTATCAGACAAATCAAGAGCAGCAAGGCCAGACATTTCAGCAGAGGCACTGAAAGCAGATGTAGCGATCTCAGCAACTGTGATAACTGCATTGGCATCACTCTTCTCTAAATACCAGGAAAAGTCCTCAACAGGGTATTGTTAAACAGAATGAAGGACTCTGTAGACGTTCAACTTCGAGACCAACAGGCTGGATTCCGTAAGGATCGACCATGTACAGACCAAATCGCAACGCTACGGATCATTGTGGAACAATCAATTGAATGGAATTCATCACTCCACATCAACTTCATTGACGATGAGAAAGCATTTGATGGCATGGACAGGACAACATTATGAAAGCTTCTTCGACACTACGGTGTACCTGAGAAGATAGTCAATACCATACGGAATTCCTATGACGAATTAAACTGCAAAATCGTTCATGGAGGACAGTTGACAGACTCTTTCGAGTTGAAGATCGGTGTCAGGCAAGGTTGCTTACTCTCACCCATTCTCTTTCAACTGATGATCGACTGGATCATGAAGACGTCAACATCTGAGGGGAAGCATGGAATACAGTGGACAGTTAGAATGCAGCTGGACGATCTAGACTTCGTAGATGATCTGGCCCTTCTATCGCAATCGCAACAACAAATGCAGGAGAAAACGACCAGTGTAGCAGCAGCAGTAGGTCTCAATATACACAAAAGGAAAAGCAAGGTTCTCCCATACAACACAGCATGCACCAATCGAATCACAATTGACGAAGATTTGGAAGATGTAAAAACCTTTACAAATCTGGGCAGCATCATTGATGAACACGGTGGATCTGATGCAGATGTGAATGCGCGGATCGGCAAAGCAAGAGCAGCATATTTACAACTGAAGAACATCTGGAACACAAAACAATTGCCAACCAACACCAAGGTCAGAATTTTCAATACATAAGACAGTTCTATTGTATGGGGCGGAAAGCTGGAAAACTACGAAAGCCATCATCCAGAAAATACAGGTGTTTATTAACAGTTGTCTACGCAAAATACTTCGGATCCATTGGCCAAACAATACCAGCAACAATCTATTTTAGGAGAGAACGAACTAGATCCCAGTGTAGGAAGAAGCACTGGAAGTGGATAGGACAAACACTGAGGAAAGCACCCAACTGCGTCAAAAGACAAGCCTTCACATGGAATCCTCAATGCCAAAGGAAAAGAGGAAGACCAAAGAACACATTACGCCGAGAAATGGAGACAGACATGAGAAGAAAGAACAAAAATAGGATAGCACTAAAAACGAAGGCATAGGACAGAGTGGGTTGGAGAATGCTGGACGGCCGCCTATGCTCGATTGGAAGTAACAGGCGTAAGTATGTCCCTTGAATCTTGCACGGTTTGCGAATGAGATTCATTTTTGTGATAATGCTTCTTGTCGCTCAGCACACCTTGATAATTTCAAATTAGTGCCTCTCTGAAACCTTTCCAGTCGTTCTCCGTGGAAAACTTCATCCAGTAGATATTGCAGGGCTTGGAACCTGTTTCTGTGAGCTATAGTGAACTGATTATGTCGAAAGCAGTCTCTGTTGAACCTCTTTAATGCTGTTTCCAAAGATTATTTAGATTCAGATTCGTAAGCTACGTCAGATGCTCTCATGGTCTTCACATCTCCCATTGACATTCTGAATTATTTGATATAATCTATCTGATTCCCTGTGGTGTGATTCGGTGACACAAATGCAGGTTTCTGCGTACGTTTGTAATGGAATATTTCCCAGCAGTCAGGAGAACGAAGGTGATAGGCGACATTCAACAAACCTGCTGAACTCATACCATATGAATGTACATACACACAGGTTCTACGTTGTAACTGATGAACTGAACAAATTAATCCAGTCACCTCATGGAGAACGGTTCTTAGTTCTCATAAAAACGTATAATATTGAATGAAGCTAACAGCATTATTACTATCCTGTGGTTTAACAATAAACTAGTCATTTTAAATCACAAGCTGATCTTAGACAACAATTGAGAACCTGGGGTCACTGGACAGCCGCTTTGTCCTAGTATAGGACTCCTAAGCAGTGTGCACCTACAACCCCGCATCTGGGAATGATACCTACGACCTCCGATCCCGCGCGCGAACGCTTCGTTTTGAGAATACTGGGCCAACATCTAAGTGTTAGCATCATAATCTCCCAAACCCTTATCCACTGCATGTAGTGGACAATTATCTCACACCCGATATGGTTGGACTCGACTGTTTCTCGCCCAAACCCCAGAAATTGCGCTTTAAAGCTAGTCACTAGTAAGCACATGATTATTATCAGTATAGGGTTTAGTCTTCCCAATATCTAAAGATTCTCTTCTTGACTACCGATATTTCCCATAAAGCAACCAATTTTTCATACAAAAACCGAGTGAATATTATATCAGAATAACACTGTCTATATACATTACGATGAGGGAACAAACAATCCCCTAAAGGATACTGTTTGACACTAAGATTAGAATTTACATAGAAAAAAAAGGGTAATTTATTATTGTTAATGAAACTATTTAATTTTACGGAGAAATTTTCCAGAATTTTCACCTAGAACACGTGCTTGATTACTGATATTCGATTGGTTTTGTTCTTTTTTTCCTTCATAATATATACCAAGTCGATGTAACAATCGAATTGATAAATTTGGAATAACTGGTTGTAGAAGTAATGCACATATTCTTAATGATTCAGATACTACTGATAATATAAATTGCTTTCTTAATAATTCTTTTTCGGTCCATGGACTGTGACGAGTAATAAACGTATTAGTTTGTCGAATAATGCGTAAAACTTCCTCGATAGCCCTGTGAGGTTGAGCTTCATACCACCAAAATTTGTCAAAATGATGAGAGATATTATCTAGACTGAAATAAAAATGAAACAAAAATTATTTAGTTTGTTATTATGCCATAAAATTCATTTGTTTCATAATGGAAAAATGTTTTATTCAGCAACAATAAATTGTGAATTTACATTTTATGATTACTGTCATTTATTGGGTGATTTTCAAACACGATGGAGTGTTGGAATTTACGCTGATACTAAAGAAGCTGGAAAAAAGACCTGATTGGTTAGTTGACAATACTTTTACATAGATCGATGTATTTCTTTGGTCCTCCTTCACAAAACAAATCAAAGAAATCTAACCTGGCTTGCTGTACGCATTATGGGGAATAGGAGGGCAGCACAGTTACTCATATGAAATAGGCGCACTTAACTCTGTCGTATCTAAACGAGTAGTTTACCTCATACCAAAAATAACGCTTAAAATAGTGATTTATATTTTTCCAAACTTCCTGATATCAACAAGATCCCGACTTGAGTCTACAAGCTTTTTGGTGATTGATCAAAAACTTTTAACATTTGTACCGACAGTAACTAATCACAATTTATAATTGTGGCTTCTTCATGGGATAACTTTAAAAAAGCTCTTCTTTGAGATCAATAAAGGTATGATACAGGAACGCGTTCAAAAAAACCGACAAATTTCTGGTCAGTTGCTAGTGAATTAGAAAAAACTTTTATAATTGAATAGTCTATAAAAAAAGAACAATATTATTGCAAACGGTGAACAGATTTTACATAATTAAATAATCTATTGAAGTCTTCTATATATTATTCTGCCTGTCAATCGATAGACCAACGACAATACAAAGTCGTCCATATGGGTATAGATTATCCAACTCTTCGAATCTTTATAAGGTTAAATGGATTTTCAGAAGTTCTCTACATTATTTCTGATTACGCTTAAGAATTTATGATTACATGTTTCGGCCAGCATTTAGAGGTAGGCTTGATCTATGTGTTATATACGATCTACAAGGGGAAAAGTGAGCATTGAACACTATTGCTTTGAGAAAAGTAACCTTTCGTTACCATTAAACTTTCTCATGACTACACAAAGGAATTCCTACTAATCGTTCTACGTGATATTTAACCTAGAAATCGTTTCTATTGATTTTTGTTAATTCGTCCTCACATACTATACTCTTATTAAATTTACTTATTGAACGATTATTAGCGGTCACTGACTTTCGAATTTTGCGCAACAGAACCTAAAAATCGTCTTCTTAAAACTGATTCATTCGACTATATAAAGTATAGATGTAACAGAAGAGAATGAAACTGTAATACATTTTATTGATGAGAAAAGAAACTACATAAACTAACTTGTCAAAAAATTCCATATCCGAATTATCATCGTGAAACATATCATCAACCTGTTTACGATTAATCTGAATTATAGACTGTTCAGGGTTAAGAGATTCAGATGTGATACTACAAAAAAGTGAAGATATAAAAAAACCCATTGAATAAATGAAAGAATTAATGGCATCTCTGTTGAAATATATTCTACGAGATAATTAAATAGAAACTAGGATTGTACATATCTCTACATTGTGAAGGCAAAAAATGCGGTACAAGGTTTCCAATCACTTAGCGGCTGGGTGGTTGAATGAGTTCCTTGCACCAACCGAATACTGTGGTGCATCACATAATATCTTATAGGGATCACACACATGTATCGTATGCATCACCCAGATTTATTTGACACAAGGATAAACTGGGACATAAAGTTTTAGAACTTCACAATATAAGTTATTTTACGCCCTTCGTACATAGGCGCATTCATTCAAACTATTCAGTCATGGGGATAATGATAAGTTAGGGAAGAAAACTAAAACCTTGTCAGCGAATGACAATTCCGTAAAAAGAAATTTAAATAAAGAAAACACAGCCGGCAATAATCAGTGTACTATTTGGTATCTTAGTGCATCGGTATACCGTTTTCCCCCGTTCAGTATCACCATAACAGAAATTTATGTAGATAAGTAAATGAGTTGAATAATGGTATCAATAGTCCTTAGAGCTAAGCACATACGAAATACAGTTCAACAGGAATAAACGAATGGGTTTGTCACTGCTGTCAACTTTCAGCTTTGTTACCTAAGGTCTTGAATCATAGATTAAAACCATTTCATAAAAATCTGGACCAAGACTTCACTTCCCAAAAGACGAGGCACATCAACAGTCAACAACTTCACGGACTCTCATTGAGATCACGGACCGATCTAGATTAGACAACCATTCATAACCTGAAAGCACTAGACTAACGAAGTAGTGCCTTGGTGTCCGCCATCTGTCTTTTTCCTAAATTATCCATAGTATAGTAGCCAACAAAGTAAGTCGGAGATGTTATGTTAAGAAATAGCTTACGCTTATTACGAACGAACGAGGGTTCCTTTTTGTACGAAACGGGATCTACGCAAAGTTGATGGATCGGATGACGGTCATGCACTACAACACTGACGCTAATAATTCGCAAAAGAATGAGAGAGCGAGTGAGCGAATGGTAATTTTTAGAGAGTTTTAATATTCCCAACGAAATCCAAATTGAAATAGCAATAAAAATGGACTTAATACACATAACAATAATAGTCAACTTCTCTGAGGTCTCCCTATCAGGTATATATACAAGTAACATATGTTATGTGCACTAAACAAAATAAACATAGTTATTATAAATCTGTGAAGGTTAGTTGTTAGTTCGAATCATGGATGCCCTCTTTAGCTTAACAACTATTGAAAATGAAGAGGGGCATCGAACGTTTGCTGCACCCCAATATAGAATACCCTAATAGTCTGCACCCACAACTTCATACCAGATGGAAACCGAAACCGTGCCTTGAAACGAGTACGCTGTCACTAAATTGGTATACATTCATTAATAGTCAATATTTCCAATTTGGCGATATTGTATGACCACCATTTATTCCCATTTGGTGATAACCTGCCTTATGCCTGGTCGTATAAGAAACTCAGTGGCACTTCTCGAAGGTAGTCCTAATAATGACCATATAGGATTGAATGGAATAACTATCTAATTTCTTACTAGTGTTTAAGTTAAGGTCAGTTCGTGATATAAACTACAAATGATATTGTTATAACATGTGCTTTATTGATAGGTGACATAATGATACTGCCAATTAGAGAACAGTGATTTATCGACCGGACCAATGACGCGTAAAACCGTACGAGCAGTCTGGAATCCTTATTGATACGTCTTACTGCCTAGCCCTGCCTGTTAAGTCCAGAACAACAATCTCAGCCTCTGCAATATGAATCATGTATTTCAAACATAGTGGGTTTATATACAAACCAAACAAACCACATCGTACCATAAAATAGGGAACAATATTTGTACAAGAACTAGCCAAAAGTGGTTGTGAATGTCGAAGACTATATTTAACAGACTGGGCAGAACTCAAGAACCGTAAATCGTAATAATAATAGTTCACAGGTCAAAATAAAGCTTTTAACAAGAGGAACACGAATATGTATAGTTTAGCTACTTAATAATTAAACAATAAAAATATATGTATCGTATTGGTCCATAAATAGTTCTCAAAAGTTACCATTCATAATTCTCATCAGGATATAACAGATATAGAATATAATTTTATGGATTTATTTCTGAATAGGTCATATACTTGATCTATATAGCTGCTGAAATCAAAACCAACCTTACAAGAATGTAATAATGTTCGTATACGCTGAGTAAAATGGATAATAAAGTTAGAGAATTGTTCACCCAAGACTCCATACGTATAGTCAGTCAGTCAGCTACAACGTAGGACCAGGCACATATGTGCATCGATCCAGGTTGCCATACCTCATTAGCACAGCAAGATGAACACCGGATTCATAGGAGTGGTTAGGTCAAAGGTTGCAATAAGGATATAGCATAGGAAGAAAGAATTAGTTCGTAGACAGAAAGAATGAAGTGATTTTAGTCTCTTAGTTTAAAGAAAGACAGGGAGTGTATTCACAGACGCCATTGTGATCGATTCCGAGCCATGTCACCAAGAGTCTCCAACCATTGGTTGCGAAAGTCAGGCGGATCCCAACCAAGTAGTCTGCATCTACCAACATGGCTCAGACTAGAAGTTAGTGACCTCAAGCACTGATGCCACGTTTTGGTTTTGCCGCCCCTAACTTTCTTCCAACCATCCCCTACCCCGGTTAGCATCGCACGTCGTGGTAATCGGTGTTCAGGCATACGTAACACGTGGCCCAACCATCTCAGTCGATAAAGATTCATAACCTCATCAACTGATTTACCATCATTCCCTAATACCCTGCGTCTAACCTCGCTATTACTTACCCGGTGATACCAGCAGATGCCAGCAATATTTCTAAGGCATCTGTGGTCAAATACTAGTAGCTTACGAGTGTCTTCTACTCTTAAGGGCCATGTTTCGCTGCCGTAAATTAAAACAGAACGAACTGCCGCGCAGTATACTCGTCCTTTTATTGATAGACGGATATCTCGCCTTCGCCAAAGGTGACGCAAGTTGGCAAAAGCCAAACGAGCTTTTCGAATCCGTGCTGAGATTTCGTCCGATACCAACCCATTAGGGCTGATCACACTTCCAAGATAAGTGAAGTTGCCAACGCGTTCGACTACTTCACTCCCTATCCTTAGTTCAGATGTTGACGCAGACCAGTCCTGAAGCAACAACTTGCATTTCGAGGGAGAGAAGCGCATCCCAAACATTCTGGCATTGTTGCTTAGTGCTACCAGAAGACTCTGCATTTTGTCAGCGTCTTCACCAAACAGGACTATGTCATCTGCGTATTCTAAGTCGATAAGTGGACCTCCTGGAAGGAGATCAATACCCGAGAACTCAGTCGACGAGAGTGTTATTTCCATCAATAGGTCTATGATGAAGTTAAACAAAAATGGAGAAAGTGGACAGCCTTGACGGACACCACTTGAGGTTGCAAAAGTAGATGACAGTTCGCCATAAGCCCTGACTCGACTAGTAGTGTTCGAGTAAAGAGCCTTCACAAGGTTTATGTACTTCTGAGGTACGCCTTTCAATGACAGACACTGCCACAGAGTCTCGCGGTCTACCGAATCAAATGCTGCTTTTATGTCAAGAAATACCACCATCGTCGGACGCCGATAGGTATGCCTGTGTTCTAGAACCTGACGAATGGTGAATATGTGGTCGATGCAGCCACGACCATGTCTAAAGCCAGCTTGGTTCTCTCGAGTTTGTAGTTCACGAGTCTTAGTTAGGCGTTTGATAATTATCGAAGCCAGTATTTTAGATACTATGTTTGTTAAACTAATCCCTCTGTGGTTGTCACAGGATGATTTTGACCCTTTCTTATATATTGGGACGATAAGTGATTGCGACCAGTCAGATGGGATAAAGTCTAATTCCCAGATCATGGCTAAAATATTAGTCAACTTAATCGCTAAAATTGGACCACCATCCTTAAACACCTCTGGAGCCAATCCATCTGGACCACCTGCCCTTCCTCGTTTCAGATTAACTATAGCCTTTTGAACTTCAGCAAGAGTAGGGGGACCTATTTCAATGTTCCATTCACACTGTCTGGGAATGGAGGGTAGTTGTAGAGTAGCTGAACTGTTCTCTAAAATGTTCCGCCCATCGTTCTAAACGTCTGGACTGGGAGCAGATGAGAGTATCATCTTTTTCCGAAATAATCTCACTTACACTTGACTTACTAATTCCAGTTTCTTTTATTAGTCTGTAAAGCTGTCTTGTGTTCCCTATAGTCGCCGCCTTTTCCATCTCTTTCGCTTTCGTTACCCACCACTGCTCACGGTCGTTCTTTAGACTTCTTCTTAATCTAGATCTGATTTGTTTTCGCTCTTCATCATGTTCAGGACCTGATGGGACGAGTTTGCGAGAATCCATCAGTGTGACAGACCTTGAAGAAATCCACTGGTTCCTTGCAACTCTGTGGTTGAAGTCACTAATAGATGTCACTGCTGTTTCCACAGCTGATTGTATGCCCTTCCAAGCAACATCTGGGTCAGCCTCGTCTTCACAACTACCTAAGTGTGACCTCAGTTGTTCCTGGACCCTACTTTTGGTTTTCTCGTTACTCAAATAAGTTCTGACGGGTCTTTTTAATGTGGCTTTTTTGCGTCCAGTGAGGCGCAAGCAGATGCGTGCCCGTATTAGGGCATGGTTGGAGTCCAAGCAGGTACTCCAGAATGAGCGACAATCTTCTACCGACCCACTCCAACGATGACTGATGGCAATATGGTCTATTTGAGTCCATCGTTGGTTTGGTGTAGGGGGTCGCCATGTTAGACGATGTCTCTCCTTATGCTTAAAATTTGTGTTTGCTAAAAATAAACGATTGTCTGAGCATAGTTGCAGCAGACGATCACCATTATCTGTTCGCTGTGTCGGAATACTAAAATATCCACCTAAATGCCTTTCTGTTTGGTTTAAACTGCCTATCTGAGCATTAAAATCACCTGCTACGAGTACTATGTCTGAGCGTTTAGCTTTCTGAAGAAGTTCGGACAGCTTTCTGTAAAATTCATCTTTCACATCATCTGAGCTGCAGTCAGTGGGAGCGTAGGCAGAAACGACAAAAAGGCAACGACGTGTGTCCCTATCCTTCCGAGTTCTTACGTAGCCGTTCAGCCGAACAGCACATAGACGACTGTTGACGGGGATCCACTCTAGCAGTGCTTGTTCGGCCCTCATGCTTAGTGCTATGCCTACACCTGCCAGTCCACGAGAACTTGCCATCGGGTCACCAGATACACGAAGGGTGTACCTCGTTGGCTCTCCGTTTTGCCGAGGTGAGGTCAAGTGAATGACCACACTGGAATCCTGTATGCGTGTTTCGGAGACACAGCACACGTCAATGGTAAGAGACTCTAGGGTTTTAGCCAAGGAAGCCTGCTGACCAATTTGACATAGGGTTCGTACGTTGAAGGCTCCAATGTGTAGTTTGGAGCGAGGTTTCAGTAGACCTGGGACAGTATTTTGCGCACTAGAATCGTTGGCTATGGTGACACTTGAGGTGGAAGCCGAGAGAGGAAATTTAAAGTTGAAAGTCGATGTAGGAGGAATAATAGGAATTGAAGAGGAAGGTTGATTATGAATACAGTGGTCTTGAGTGCTGTTAGAGGTATGAGGGCGGTTTTCACTTCCCGGTTGCCCACACCGTGGAAGGGTTGTTCTGGAGGTACCTGAAAAGGAATTTGGATTAAAGGTGGTCTTAGTGACCTGAGAGCGTGACCGCAGTGCCCAAGGGACAACTGCTTGAGGTCGGTCACACACGACCTTGTTATGGGTAATTTTTGTGTTAGCTCCGTACTTATTGAGACCTTACCGCCGGAGACGGATATCCGTGGGATAAGGCGAGGTGTGCATTTTTAGGGTCGACCTTTTCTAACCCCACCCCTCCTTGTGGGAAGGCAGCATCGCTGTCATGCTGGTTGTCTGAAGGAAACACCTTACTGTTGTCACACCTCTGTACAGTCAGCAGTACGACTTCGCCTTCGGACCTTGGGTTTGTTGCTTTTAGTCTTACCGCTCTTCAACCGACCTGTCTGACATGGTAGGACCTTGAGGAACGGTTGTTCCAGCCAGTATAGCTCGGTTGCTTCATCACGATAGGCAAGCCCGACCACCACGTCAAGGTAGCAACAACGGTCGGGAGTTATTTGTTGAAATCAATCAATAAATAAATAATGATCACTCACCGAGAAAGCAAATTTCCAATCCAATTAACAAGTTCTGTGTTAATCATTTTACGAGCCATTTCACGACTATAAGTGCCATCAAATGTTAGCAAAGGAAGGCGAAGCAAAACATAACGAAGAAGATCTGATTCAGAAGGTGTTATAACATTGTTGTTTAATTCGTCCGACAATAAAGCAGACTGTTCAACAATCGGATCGATTTGATTACCTCTACTTTTAGACATCTACATTACCATTCAAACACACGCAGAAAATAGATTAAAGACAAATTCTACTTGTAAAATGACGGTGTGAAGTTGTTAGTAGTTTGTGCAAATGTTATCATTACAAGAGATAATTAAAAATAAAGTATATGCATACACTTAATTCAAGCATAGTTTTGTTTCGGAATAAACACATTTATAAGTCAAGAAAAAACCAAACAGAAACAAATGAGTGTCAGTCTATCTACTGGACGAAAATGAGCCATTTTTAAAAAGAGATTTGTTCTGAATGATCAAGTTAGCTAATTCAAGGATTCAAAAACAATTAACATTGAAAGATGATTGTGCTACGTGACATGATGAGTGAACTGAAGTTAGAGATTACTAAACAAAACAACATAGAAATCAATTATACCGTTCGGAGTTGTTACAACACTAGAAAAATTAACAGAAATGAAATTAGTAATTATTCCTCCTACGTCGACTTTGAACACTACACTTCCTCTTTTGGCTTCCTCCTCAAACGTCACCATGGCCAACGATTCTAGTGCACAGAACATTGTCCCAGGTCTACTGAAACCTCGCTCCAAACTACACATTTGAACCTTCAACGTACGCACCATATGTCAAATCGGTCAGAAGACTTCCTTGGCTAAAACCCTAGAATCTCGTACCATTGATGTATGCTGTGTCTCCAAAACACTCATACAGGATCCTAGTGTGGTCACTCACCTCGGCAAAACAGAGAGCCGACGAGATACACTCTCCATGTATCTGGCGACCCAATGGCTAGTTCTCGTGGACTGGCAGGTGTACAAGGGCAGAACAAGCATTATTAGAGTGGGTCCCCGTTAACAGTCGTCTATGTGCTGTTCGGCTTAACGGCTCCGTAAGAACTCGAAAGGGTAGGGACACGTATCGTTACCTTTTCGTCGTTTCTGCCTACGCTCCCACTGACTGCAGCTCGCATGAAGTGATGGCTCTCCTATTCCCTTTATTTTCTCTTCATTTCAGTGTTCTGCTGGCAGGCATTCCACTTCTGATTACTGCTACACGCTACTTATATATGCCAGCCTAAGTAGCATACACCACAAATACACCGAAAAATGCAAATGGACGATTGAAGACTAGGTATTATGTAAATAATTTGTAAGTTATCGCAACAAATACACGTTCCTCCTGCTTATGGCTTTCTCACGTTACTATTTCTACCACCCCAACGTCTTGATAACTGCATCTCACTGTGCTAATGTGGTGTGATAACTTGAACCGATGCACATATGTGACAGGTCTTACGTTGCACGTGACTGACTGACTGACATTACATGTTATCATTAATAACCCATTTACGAGGTGCACATATTTGGGTACTTGATTTAGAGATACAATTTAGGTATGATGCCTGTTGTGACTTTATGTCCAGCTTATCACATGATTTACCCACCAATCAAAATACAACTTATACGATCTTAGCGCTGTGCCAAACCAATGACGTTCGACCGGTATGGGCAGCCTAGCGTCCTTATTGATCCTATGTCCGCATAGCCCATCCACTTGAGTCCAGAACACCAATACCAGCTTCCACTATGCGAACCGAATCGAATCACTTATTTCAGACATACTGGGTTTATATATATCAACCAAACAAACCGCAACGCACCATAAAATAGGAAATAACATTCATACACAATAAAGCCAAAAAGTGGCTGTGAACGTGGGAGGCAGTAGTCAATAAACTGAACATAGCTCAAGAACAGTAAATCGTACAATAATAAATTATAGGTCAAAATAAAGCTTATAACAAGGGGAATATAGATATACATAATCTAGTTACCGAATATTTATACCATGAGAATATATAAATAATAATAGTCCATTAATAAGTCTCAGACGTTACTCGTAATGTAATCTTCACTAGGATATAACAATGCCTAGTGATACTCTAACCCGTTGTTTAAACTGAAATAGGCAGAGTGAGGTTCGAACCTGAAACTTAGTGGTTGAATATTGAACGCCCTAATCACTGTCAAACAACTGCTACATCTCATGAAATAATATACTTTCCCTACGAAAAAAAGAAAATTACCTTAACATTATCCACAAGTACATGATGGTGACAGATTAGACGTCGCGGCAACGGCAGATTGACAGCCATTAATAAAGCAGGCCAGAGAACTGCATGGAATCTATTGAGAAAGGAAAATTTATGGAGAAGAAAAGAATAGACTGGTTTTATTGGTTAACAGTACTATGATAGGTACTATTAGGTTAGTAATAGAAACGTTTTGTAATGTCTCAAACTCTCTCTCCACAGAGATACGTTGAAGAAACTTCGATGGTAAAAATCACATATACAAGAAAGTAAGAACTCTGGTAACATTTGGTATGTGGTTAGTAGTGAAATACAGGACACGCGTTATTTTTTACTTGGAAACCATTAGTTAGATGTCCTTGCTACACTCGTGTTAATGTTACATATTGAGAACCCAGTACCTTTCTGTTGGGGAGATCCAGAGTATTCCTCGGAAGGAGCCCAGAAGAGGCCCTGAAAATGGTAGGAAACATTTTATCTAATCAGCACTGAATAGAAAGTGGAGAGTCACGGGTTACGTTTCTGATTGGATGACTACCTATCCTGCTGCTATGTTTAGTAGGGTCCCAGAAACCTAGGGCCATCTGAAATGCTATAAATACCCTGAATTTTCTGTACATAAACGAACCTTGAAGTAAAGCGTTTTTTACACATTTAGCGCCTTTTCTCTCGTGTTCAAGTTGCCGTGTAGATCTAGTCTGAGGTTATAGAAGAGCTTAGGAAACCAATTTAAGTGTTCAGTTAGAAGATTTATCACTTTCAATCGAAACATCCCATGCGATATCATCCGCTACTGAGTTCAGATGGCCACAAAATTTAGTTTTCTGAATACCAATAACTGAGTAGGAAATGTCTACGCAGAAATTTATTTTGTTTAAAAGAAAAAACACCTTTCAATGACTAACTAACCAGTAAACATATAAATTTAAATGACTGATATGGTTACCCTGCACTCTTACAAAAGATTGTAGAAAATTACCTAGAAATCTGGCACTCTGTTAATACAAGCTTCTTAGGAAGAACAAAAATATATGATAATGGATATACTAATGAAAAGGTACCTACCTACACACAAATATGAGTTCAACTTTATATGCGGCTATACAAAATATACGACAGCCATATTACAAAGGGACATTTAAACACTAACTGGTATGAAGGTGAAAATATGTTACGCTGCTTAGTCCACAATAGTGATTGGGGGGGGGGTTACTAATAATTTCTTTTCTAACTGTCAAGCTTATAGCAACTCACGTGCAATTTAGTTGGTTCACATCTAATTCGGTTAAGTCATTTTGTTAACTTATTAACGAACTGAGTCATCCGTACAACAACAACTTATCTATATCATTGTATCTTTATTATTGTTGCGAATGTATGAACATGTATGCTTGAGCATTGCTTACTGCCTACGCATATATTCACTCTACTAGCCTTACTATTAGTCGCTTAATTGATTCGATGATTCATTCATTTAACTATAAATATGTCCATTTTATTCGTGTTCATTGCTCTCACGCCTATTTGTACTCGCTTACTCGTACTCGTATTTGCCGACCCACTCGCTCGCTTGCCTGCTTGTTTTCGGCACAACTCTTTCATGATTGTTTAACGCACCTGTAATTTTGGATGTCTGTGTGTAGTCCCATAATAAACGTAATCAACACTTCGTATTCGCCTTCTGATTAATATACCGTTGGGGCGTTATCTAGTGACGGTTATCAAGACGAACTGTATACGAAGTTTAAGGATTATATTGAATACCGACCACCACAAGTTTATATACTGAATACTGTGGAACACTATTTGTAGTTATTAATTGGTTGGAGGCATTTCTGAACAATTCCTAATTCGTCCTATACAATAATAGCAAACCCTGATTATCTATAATAATAGTCATATTATTCAATGAAACCACACCCTATCAAATACTTAAAAAGTCTTGCAGTATTCCCATCATCCACTTCGTCGTGTTGACGCAGTATGATAACCAGGCTTGATCCAAACTTGCCCCAGGCTCTTTATATTGACAATGACTGGCTGGACTCGTAGAGACCTTGGAGAATACAAAACAGGTCAACATCTTAAAAAAAGCCAAACAGAACCAAAGTTATCTCGCCAAGAACATAGATGGTCAACAGAATACTTTCCAAGCATATATGTGAGTTCAAATTATTTAAAACAAAACAAATATATTAGCTTTCTTAGAAAACTCATTAAACAAGGAATGTAAATAAAATTCTACAGAACCTTTTTAATTATGTAAACATGAAAAGGCATAAAGGTAACTACAGATAGTAATAACAATAATAACTAGTAATAATAATAAATAATACTAACCGTATTATATCTTTTCCCAAAAATTGTACATCTGGTGGCCAGAGAGAGTGCTTAAAACTACCATCATTAACATTTGACCATGGGAAGCCTGCAACTGTTAAGTAGTTAATCAGAGCATCAAACCATACGTAAATCTATTTTTTTTTTGAAAACAGAAGAATTATAGGAAAAAACACTGGAAACTAACAAATTTCAAGCAACCATTTATAATATGTATACATCTCTCCACTAAATGTAAGCTGTTGCTTTAAGATTGATTTTTGTCAACGCCTAGACTAACAATAGGGAGCAAACTAGTTAAGCGCGTTGACAAATTAACTTATCCCAAAACATCTTAATCATGAAGCTTAAAAGTCTTAAGGGTTGGATTTAAATCAGGGTCGAGGTTGTGTACTGTTGGACAGTCCCATACTAAGATGAAACACCTGTCTAGTGCCAACTTAGTATTTAATGGTTCCCCAGTTGATATTAGTCAGTGATGAAATCCAAGTAATCACAGTAGTTTTTACTGACCAGACGGAAATAAATGGAGCAGGGTTCGAACCATCGACCGACTTGTTGAAAAATAACATGCCTTAAGCATAGTTGGTAGATAGAAAAAATTAAGCTGAAATATGACTTTTAAAATTGATAAATAATCAAGACCACGAGAGAAAAAAGAAAGATAAGTCAATTCCATAGGAGAGAAAAACACGTTTTTATTCCTGTAAGAACCAGGAGAACTTTGAGATGGAACATGGAAGAAGTTTTAATAAGTATGAAACTTGGAAAGAAAATCTCGTTTTCGTTTACAGACAGAACTTACAATTTGTTCATTATCACCAGGAACATGTATACCCCAATCCGAACGACTTTTTGATCTTGAAATAGATATATCTTGAGAAGTATCCACCATATTATGTGCTATATCACTCCAAACTGATTGATTGGATGACTTAGGAAATACTATTTCAAAATGATTAAAAATGTATAATAATGAAAAAACCACAGATAACAAAAAATAGAAGTGTATTATATTATTTATGAAAAGAAATTGAAATATTTTATAATCCTTATAACTCGTGTTACAAACTAGAGTTGATGAAATACAAATTAACCGTTGAAAGGTTCATGTTCGATTCATGCACAACAGTTTCAGCTGACAAAATATGGCAAACTCTCCCTCTTTCTCTGTCTTCATGTAGGGTTTTTACTTGCGAAAGTAAGCAAAAGTTATTGAATTTGAATTGGTAAACATGATTACTTACCCAAAAAGGTTGGGAAACCTTGATTCGGTGCAAAACAACAATCAATCCAAATAGGTTACGACTTTTTCAAGTGGAAAAAAAGCACGAGTATATACTGGTCACAAAATGTGGAAAAACCGAGATTTTCAACATCTTTTATTCAGGAACAGAGACAGCTTTAAAACTGTTACAAGACTTATGAGGAAATGACTACTTTGCTTAAATGAAACTATCCCCCTTACTTTTTTAAACCTAATCAAAAACACTGGAAATCTACAAAGCAATGTGCTATTTTTGAAATCGAATTTTTTCTAATCTCTCTTGTGGTCTACTGTTAGCGGAACATAGACTGGATTAAAGCAAGCTCAATGCACGATTGCTTTGGTGCACGCTGATTGGCTAATTCTTATCCAATCAGCACTAGTCGATAGTTGGAGAATACTCTAGAATCTTCTCAGGTAAAAAACTATAAATATACTGACGTTTTTCCCTATTGTGCTTCTGACTTGCTTCTTACTTCCATCTAACCTTGTTATTTGGAATATAATCTCTTTCCTGTTCAACCGTGTTTTGATTTGGGGACTTGTCGAGTGATTCGGTGTCCGAGAATACTAAGCAATAGGAATAGCTGGGTCATAACCGTAAGAAAAGAGATTTTTATAACATCTACAAAAAGCCAACAGAATAGAACTTGATATGCAGTTTTGGAAGCTGAATGTTCAAATTACTCTGTAGATGGAACAAGTTTTATGCAAGGGAGATAATTAAGTAGATAAGGTTGCGAATTCGCAATCGACTGAGATAGATTGAGCATGCATAACTCATAGCAAGCCATAGTTTGATGTGGGACGTTCACTGGTGTAGTAAAGTCTCTAGATGATCAAACATAGATACACAACTAAGTAGGGAACCCACTGACAGTTAGTTGGTATCATGAAAAGAAACAAGAGTTTCTTTGTATAGTAGGAATCAATATGTGGGAATTATGAGCGCCACAGCTTAAAATTAACCATAGAAGCCTAAATATACTCATTTGTTAAATATATTGAGTACATTAACTCAAATCTATACATCTTGAGTACTTGTTTATTTTTCTAGATCTTATGATCTCAATTCTTTCGCTATTATCGAATATAACAACTTTAATCACTGAATCTTACGCAATGATATTTTACAGCCAAATCAACTGATTTTTCACCGCTTCGGAACACTCCACATGTAATATAACCACCATTGCACTTACACACAGTGATACTCAATTAAGCAACGGAAGAACACTGTACCCATAATGTCAACGAAGAAATTATTGTAATAAGATCTTACATAAGAGAACGAGTTGCTTAAAAGTTAACTGAATACAGTAAGTTTACTACACAATAAAGACATCAAGACCATATTTTTGGAAGTTGTCCTTGTATAATAGAAACAATGATAGAGACACTATTCAACAAAACACTTACCTCCTGAATCTAGCCATTTGTGTAAATCATTTTTAAATGAAGACAGTTTAAACATGTAATTCTCTTCTTCAATCCATTCCACTGGATTACCAGTTTCTTTTGACACAGGTACTCCTGATGAACTGGTTTCATCAATTTCCCATGGCGCATAAAATGCTTCGTCTGAAATACAATACCAACCAGAATATTTGCTTCGATAAATATTACCACTGGCGTTTAAACGCTTCTACAATGAAAGAAAATTTTAGGAAAATATATATATATAGAGAGAGAGAGAAAGGACAATAAGTCTTATGGTATGTCGACTAGCACTCTGAACTCTGAATCTAGCAACCTGAGTTTGAGTCCCATCAAGGGCTTGACCGATGGAGCCTTTGAAAAGTTAGAGATCAAGACGTTCAACTACTAACTAGTAAGTTGCGGTTTTGAGTCCCGCACCAACTATTTTGGCTTGGGCAATCAGGTAGTATCACTAGCCTTCATCCATAAAGTATACAAATCCGTACTTGGTGAGCTATATCACATATTATACATGAAATATTTATTTAAGAATAAATTTTAAAATAAGATAAAAACTCACCCAAAATTCATGAACAGCTTTCACATGCCTAGTTTCAGTAGTACGGATGAAATCATTGTATTTTACATGAGTAGCATGACAAAGAGTCTAAAACCAAGACATGAGATAAAATTTGACCTACCTATATAAAAAGTTGGGAACAATAACTGTATTTTTGTTTGCTCTGTTTTCAACGAAAGAAAAATATATCATATACAACTTAACTCTCATCCTAACAACTGAATAATTTTTTAAACTACATACATATACCTATAATTCCTTCTGAATTTCATGTTTTGTAAGAAATTATATAGAATTCATTCGAACAGAGAACAAAACACCTCACTCAATCGAATGACAACTTAAATAAAGGTAGAAAATTGTAGTTAATAACTAAAAAACGGACAGAAATATCTAGTCAACGTTGCAGTTACACTTGTTAAATAACGCTAGGATAAGGTTTTTGTAGCATATGAAAATGACACCAAGAAATATATGTGCCTGGTCCTACGTTGTAGCTGACTGACTGTTTTTTATCTAATATATTTATATATACTCCCACATTTAATGTTTAGTTCATTTGTTTATCCTACTCTTACGGTATGTGCATCGGTCCAGGTTGCCATACCGCATCAGCACAACAAGATGAACACCGGATTCATAGCAGTGGTTAGGTCAAAGGTGGTAATATATAAGAGAAAGATTGCATATAGTACAAGAAGAAAGAATTGGTTCGTGGAAAGAAAGATATGAAGTGATTTTAATCTCTTAGTTTAAGGGAAGATAGAGAGTGTATACACCGACGCCATTGTGATCGACTCTGAGCCATGTCACCAAGAGTCTCCAACCATTGGTTACGAAAGTCAGGCGGACCCCAACCAAGTAGTCTGCATCTACCAACATGGCTCAGACTAGAAGTTAGTGACCTCAAGCACTGATGCCACGTTTTGGTTTGGCCGCCCCTAACTTTCTTCCAACCATCTCCAATACCGGATAGCATTGCACGTCGTGGTAGTCGGTGTTCAGGCATACGTAACACGTGGCCCAACCATCTCAGTCGATGAAGATTCATAACCTCATCAACTGATTTACCACCATTCCCTAATACCCTGCGTCTAACCTCACTATTACTTACCCGGTGATACCAGCAGATGCCAGCAATATTTCTAAGGCATCTGTGGTCAAATACTAATAGCTTACGAGTGTCTTCTACTCTTAGTGGCCATGTTTCGCTGCCGTAAAGTAAAACAGAACGGACTGCCGCGCAGTATACTCGTCCTTTTATTGATAGACGGATATCTCGCCTTCGCCAAAGGTGACGCAAGTTGGCAAGAGCCAAGCGAGCTTTTCGAATCCGTGCTGAGATTTCGTCAGATACCAACCCATTAGGGCTGATCAGACTTCCAAGAATAAGTGAAGTTGCCAACGCGTTCGACTACTTCACTCCCTATCCTTAGTTCAGGTGTTGACGCAGACCAGTCCTGAAGCAACAACTTGCATTTAGAGGGAGAGAAGCGCATTCCAAACATTCTGGCATTGTTGCTTAGTGCTACCAAAAGACTCTGCATTTTGTCAGCGTCTTCACCAAACAGGACTATGTCATCTGCGTATGAAGACACCGACCTTTTTTAATTAATTACATAAAATTCATGTTAGGGAAAAATTAAACGAATTAAAGTGACTCAGAATGTCGCTCCGATATTCATTTCAATGACTGTTCAATGAAGACAAAAAAGTCAACAGAACAGACTGAAACTCGGCTCCATTTTCATCACAGTCACATATACACACGCATATTCAAATATATACTTTATAAGACAATAAAAACTTTAAAATAATAGAAACATGTTTTTAACAATGGAAACAGGTCAATTTTCAAAAAAAAAAACATTTGTACCAATAGCATTTTATCCTTCCTCACAATTCACGGATTAAATATCAAGACAGAGTCCGACCGTCAACTAAAACTCCAATATTTCCGTGACGTAAATACTAGAAAAATGTGACATGGTCTGACGTTAAAACACTAAGCATATATCACATGTGAGGACAGTCAGTCATAAGCAACCTACGACCTGGTGCGTATGTACGTCAGTTCAAGTTGCCATATCCCATTAGCACAATGAGATGAAATTATTGGAGCAAATCCCAAAATAGTAGAGGTAGTAACATCATTAGTGCTGGTAGAAAACACTAGGCATCGAAAATACGATTTGAGATACATTAGTGAACTAATAGGATAAATTTATGAGGAATTTAGAAACTTAGAAGGGCAACGATTGTGAGCCATGTCACCCAAAGTCTCTAACCATTGGTCACAATAATCACACTGATCCCAACCAGGTAGATATACACCTATTAACATGGCTCAGTTCACATATTATCGAAAATTTCGAACTCTGTTCGCCAAAATTTTTTGGATTGTGAAATATCTTATCAGGAGGACGAATAGTGCTACAGAGTTCATCAGCACAACCTGTTCATGTTTTTATCATGATTGATCTCGTCTGTCATATGCACAAAAAAATACAATCACCAACATTTACAGATACTAACATTTCACAACCAGTTTTCACTGGTAAATACAGGCACAGACATGAATACACATCTTCAAAATGGTTAAAAAATGAATACCTCAAACAGAGGACTCATTCGATCACAATACTGCAATGGATCAAGATTATTGACAGTTGCAGCCCGGCGAACCTGAAAATGAAAAAGAAGTGTACAGAGACACTTCATTCAATATCAACTGGATAGAAATAAGAAAGCTACACAGTTCGCCCATATAAGTAGAGACAAAAAAACACCAGACCGGGAAATAACACTCAAGTTGTTCCGATAATTTAGTGAACTATTCCAATCAACAGTAAAACAACCTAGTACTTCTTGTCTTGCTGCTGAAGGATATGGTACAAGAATATATATGTGTAAGGGTTTAGGTTGATCCTGTTCATATCAGTGAAACGTAAGTGTTTACCGACAAACTGACACAAACCACGGGACTCCCCAGAAGTGCGCATTTGCCACCCTACTGAAGATCAAACCCAGCACTTTCAGGTTTCCATAGAGTGAGGATCCAGACGCGTACTGCTGAAGAATCCTATACTAAAATGGAACTATTATTCAGTGTCTCCTGGTTCTCAATAATTGTGTAAAAATAATATCAGCTCGTGATATAAACCGTAAAACGACGAAAACTCTTTAGACACTTCATACTAAAGATATAATATAATTAAGTTTCGTTTTCAGTGCTAAATGTTAACATTGTGGTGGGTATAAGTCCAATTTATATCATCTAAAAATTATTAATGTTGTTAAGAGACATGGAGGGATAAATATGAATGGTTTGCCTGTATATTTTAAACGGATATTTACCATTAGGCGTTTTTTATCTGTATACCGTTTTCATGATAAACTATTTTTGACTGTTATTGTTGCATCTTCAACCGATTACAAATAAACCGGTAGATAAGTTGTGCACTTTTATTATGGAGGTAGATCAATGGTTAAGGCATTCGACTATCAGACAATAAGTTGAAGATTTGAAACCTGTCCTATCTACTTCAGTTTAGGCAACCGGGTATTATCACCAGTCTTTACACTTCAAGTGTAACTCATAGCCAAGTATATGAATCTATACCTGGTAACTAGACTAATAAATAACTCATTTTTATGGTAAAAATACTTTAGCTATTTGTACGTCTTAGTCTTGTTTATACAAGTGAGTTACAAGTTATCATAATAAAAGTCACCAGTGGCTACATATCTGGTCTTTTGTTATTTCAACTGCAGAGATGGAAAGGCGGAAAAGCCAGTGTATCCATTATAAGAAATGTGAAAAGAGTTGAAGGGATTATCGTGATAGAGCGTAAAAAGCAAACCAAACAAGTTTAAAAACAAGGATGAAGTATGAAGTGAATTTCACAGACGACTCACTTTAGATCCATGTTCATCAGTCCCACAAGATAAAAACGTTTTATTGAGATTGCAGTAATCAAACACAGGAGAATAAGCGAATGCAATATAATCTTGTTGGAAAGGTTTCAGTATTGACTGATTACGCAAACAACTATATCTTGCCCAAGCGTCAGCTAAACATGTGGTATATGCATGACCCAAATGAGGTTCTAATAATTGGAAGAGATATTTAAATTGAGATGAGTGAAAATTCCAGAAAATTTATGTGGGTAGGAGAGAAACTCGAATGAATTACTACCAAACTATCTAGATGATACTTGGAGTACAAATGAAAATGAAACTAATAACTTCCTGTAAAGATCTAGATAACTCGTACAGCTACTCAAGACATATGAACTATCCTCCAAATAATCTTTAAGAAAATAAACTTATTTCACTATACGTTCTAGGCGGATTGTGCCGAATAAGAACCTTAAACTGATGAGGTAAAATAAAAGGCAGTTATTCTATAAATTTACTATCAGACCTGGTTGTAAAAGACAATGAAAACTACTTGGTTATGAACAGTAAAAATATTACAACAGATGACTGAAAAACTTAAATGACATAGGCCAAAGACGATGCTACTTTAATAAAAACAATAACCCTTGATATTATATGAAATTTAGAACTTATTACGTTGATATCCTCTGAATGATGTCTTTTTGCTTCGCTTTTTCATTTCTCACGTTATACTCTAACAAGCTTTGATCGAATGAATGGTACACATTATTTTTATGTCTTATTGTACTAGAAAAATGTAATTTAAAACAAGCATAGGCAGCAGATTTGCAGCTTTTCAAACAGAAATAAAGCTAGCAGTTAACATCAGTAAAATGTCGACAATATCTCACATTTTTCCAATAAACGACGAGCAGTTTCGAAGATCCTTAACATTTAATCATCCCAGTCAAGAGAAAACATAAGACACCTTTTCGACTTATATGCAAACCGTATCGTCGCCGTCCATTAAAAATACGTCTTTGAAGTGTGTACGGCCATCTATAGTTTACACCTAATGCTATTTCTAAGTGAAAAACTCCTATGGTACCGAAGATCTGTCAGGAAATTTGGAAGTAAATGCTCAAACCATCTCATCAACCGATAGACATGGGAATGAAGGACCAGGCACTAATGTCAAGTTTAACACTAATTGATACGGTGACAGTTGAGGCTGATGAAAGACATAAAAACCCTACCGAGAACGAAACTACATCATTACAACCAACCAACTACATTTGTTGTAAATTGAAAATAAGTATTCATTTACGATTATATTATGTTTATTACGACCGTTCATCGATCGCTGTGAAAAGATAAAGAGAAAAGCTGTTATCTCACAATAATTTCGTTATGATTAGTGGAATGAAGCATTAGAAAATAACTTTTGCATACCAGAGTGTTATGATATCTATAGTTTAATCACTCATAGAACCCAATTAAGGATTAGCCACAGAAGCCTAACTATTCACTACTGGACAGTATTTCCAAACAGAAACACTAGTTATGTTGTGAAGAAGTCTAGTACTTCTAATCACTCCTATCAACAATAATGCACGTAATAGGTGTTTTAAACTATGACGTTAAAGATAAAATGAACACTTCCAGTACACCTCCGTACCACATGCATTTTGCAAATATATATATGCTCAAAATACACTCATTCCATATAAGTAAAACTCATGGTTCCTAAATTAAACACTTTAATTTGCAATACATATATATCGCCTTCAAATCAACACAAATAACATTTAGTCATATATCTATCCAAGAATAAGGAATCTACCTCTTAAGGTTTAATTATATGTAGGTGGAGTCAGTTCATCTAGTCATAAGAACTGGCTAGAATGCTTATTAAAAGTCCATAATCTATCTAATAACTTACTTGCATTGACGTAAAATATTGGACATGTAATAAAAAAAGGCTTCTCAGAACGAGTAGATGCAAAACATCGGGAATGATTACCAGCAGCCGTTCGGAGTAAAGGTCGAGAAAACTAATCCCAAAAACAATAAATAAAGTAAACTGGTCCTTACAAATAATAAAAACGATCTTGGCATTTAATTTTTATTTGTAGAAATGACAGTACAAAACAAGTGTTTCACACAAGTGTACACGCGAGAGCATAAGAAAAACAGCATATTTAACAAACGCATATACAGTTATCACCATAAATATCCTAATACTATATGGATATGACACTCACAAAACACATTCAGCTTGCTTGAAACCATCTACTCGAATAACTATTCAACACACAAACTATTCAGAACCTGAAAAATTGAATAGAATACACCACGAAGTTAACTCATTGACCAACTAAATATTATATTAGATAAAAGTGACTCAGAATGTCGCTCCGATATTCATTTCAATGACTGTTCAATGAAGACAAAAAAGTCAGCAGAACAGACTGAAACTCGGCTCCATTTTCATCACAGTCACATACACTCATACAGAAACTAAAGTAGTAGGGATCCGTCTCTGACAACTGAAATGGGTTAGATAGAAGTAGTGTCTTTTAACACATCACTACCCAATGGTAACGTACTTCTGGTTTATCTCTACTTAATTTTCACTTCCCTACTATATAATGTGTGAAAGTTAACTATGAGTATTATGAAATACATAAGCTAACTTTCTGCAGAAGTTCAACGGCTTCCCCCCATGATGTCAAGTCTCGTTTCAGAACACTTTTGATTGCAATCCTAATGTCAAATGACGTTAGTGTTTGCAGACTTATTGATGTGGATGATTGTGTCATTGGTCTATGGAAAATAGCAAACATTTCTTTATCGCTTTTCCTCAAGATCCCATATATGGTTGTTGATTATATTGTTGGTACTAACCAACAATGAGAACCATTAATACCCCAAGCTCCCTGTTTCGGGGAAGATTTTGTTCATTTTTGGGAAGCCACTATAAAAAATTCTGGAGAAGTGGCACAAAATTCTGGGGATTTCTCCAACATTCCCCCGAAATGGGGAGATTCCCAAGCTCCCAACTTTGGTGAAATTTCGGGCAATTTTGGGGAAATCCCCAAAGTGAAATAGCCTTTCCCAGGTTTGGGGAAATTTTGGGGTTTTTGTGCCATTTCCCCAAAATTTCCTGAAAATGTGCCAAATTTTCCCCGAAATTGGGAGCTCGGGGACGAGCAATGTTTGGTGTACCAAAAAGCAACTTTAAGAACTTAACATGAACAAAGGTAGTATTCTAACCAGATACAGCACTTCGGATATAAATACTAATTAACACCATAGATATTTTACAGTAGTCTAAAAAGTTCATAAAGTAACGTGTTACAGCAGCATGTTAGCAACGCTTCAAGGGTATCGTCCATTGACGGAAGTTGCGAGCACTTGAAGGTCAAACTGTTGTAAGTTGATTGGCGCGTCACATCGACAGTTCGTGGAGTTTTGCAGAAGCAGTGAAATCAAGACATTTCTGGATTTGAATTCAGTTCAGCCACACTATGTCTAGTAACGTCCATCATTCAAGTAACGAAGAATGTTCTAAATTTCCCTCATTCGTTCGTTCGACGTTGAATAGCTAAGGTCATGGCGACCATTCCGTATCTGAGGTTGGAATTAAACCCCAGCATGCAACGATGTTCAGAATAACTCAGTCTTGCGTGGTGAATAAAAGATACAGTCGTAGCAAAATTCACAGCATCATATAGTTTGTTAATAAACACTACATCACAATATGACAAATTAATTGACTACATGAAAGTAAATTAGACTGTAGCGGTAAATAAATCCCCAAAATAAATAGCGCTGTAAGTTTTCGACATTGGATGCTGACCATATGTTTTAGTGGACTCATCTAACTGAAGGCGCTCGGTCAGGCATCCGCACCAGATCACGTGTGGTAACGCCGTGCTCAACATCAACCGCAATCGCTAGCCAGATTAGATCAGAGAATTCCGATATATTGGTCATCGCCAAATATACTCTTCCGATCTCCTCGACTCTGTCTTTTGATTTCTCTGGGCGGGAACGAAATATATTAGAAGGTGTTACTGGTAGAAGCGTTGCCAAACACTGAATACCTGTGCCATCTTCAGTACTTTATACAGGTATATTGGTGTTTAAATAGTTATTAGGTGTAATTTTCAAGATGTTAATATAGATGAACACAAATTCCTATTTATCACACCTCGGATATTATTCACATCATTGGTGAGACCGACGTGATCTGGTACACCTAATTGCAACTGTCAGTCTGTTCCTTTTTGGGGTTTTTATATATCATTGCCTTATTTTTTTATTTTTTTTTAAACATTGTGATTTTTTTTCGTGTTTTTTCTTGGATATATATATTTTTCCCCTCGTTCATTATCGTACTTCATACTTCATCATGACTGAACAGACACCTAAAGTACTCAAGCTTAAGACTTTGTCCCCGCCTTCGTTTCAACTGATGCCTTTCTGGCCCGACAACATCGAAGCCTGGTTTTGCTACGCAGAAGCCGACTTCTCCGAGCACGGCGTGATCGACACACGTGCGCAATTCCTCGCAGTAGTCAAGGCACTACCGCGCGAATTCAACAGGTACGTAACACATAGTATGTTTACTAGTGATGTTTCCGATCCTTACGAAATCTTAAAACGCTCGATTCTTAAACGAGGAGACCTAACCGATCGACAAAGGTTAGATCAACTCTTCAATAACATCGACCTGCAACACGATTCTGCGACGGACATGTTGCAACGGATGAGAGAGGTAATAGGCCCAAGAACTTTCGACGAGGGCCTATTCAAACAACTCTTCTTGTCAAAACTTCCCCAACAGGTGCAAACAGTTCTGATCTCGTTCCAGAACAACGCCTTAAACGAGCTAGCTGCATCTGCCGACCGCATTCTAGAAATTACGAAACCTACTACCGAGGTATTTTCAGTCAAAGAAAAGCCTCACACGAATCAGAATGATATAAACGACTTATGTCACACACTCACGCGTTATCTTAGTCTTCGTACCGACCGTAAGAGATCGCGCACACCACGTAGAAGCATTTCACGTAAGCGATCTGTCTCTAGACCACGAGAGACAGATAACCCCGACTGGTGCTGGTATCATAACCAGTATGGAAAGTTTTCCAGAAATTGCAGAAAACCCTGCAATTTTCCCAATACGAAACCGACTGATTCGAAAAGCAATTCGGGAAACTTCCAAGCCGGCACGCGTTAACGGCAACCGTAGCCGGCGAACAAAGCCGTCTGTTATTCGTCACAGATGTGACAACGAGAGTTCGCTACCTCGTCGACACTGGCGCAGAAGTTAGCGTTCTCCCAGCAAATCCTAACGACCGGCTTCAGGAATCGGCTTTTAACTTACAGGCGGCAAACGGAAAACCGATCACTACGTATGGCAAAAGGTACGTTTACCTTAACGTGGGTTTACGCAAACCCATCCACTGGATTTTCGTTGTTGCAGATGTTTCTATGCCAATCATTGGTATGGATCTTCTACAACACCACAATCTGGTCATCGACACTCGCAAACGGAGGCTAGTAGACGGAAACACTAATTTGTCCGTTTGCGTAACTTCTTTTACTGGTTGTAGAGTATCCCCAGTCACAGTTAAACATATGATAGACCCACTCTATCAACCACTACTCGATAAGTACCCTGGGATACAACAAACTCAACCGAAACTACCGTGTGTAACCAGCAACGTTACACATCACATCACGACTACAGGACCACCTGTATTCTCTAAAGCACGACGACTAGCTCCTGAAAAGCTAAGGTTAGCGAAAAACGAATTCGATCACATGATGGACTTAGGAATCATACGACCGTCAAGTAGCCCATATGCATCTCCGTTGCACATGGTCCCTAAAAAGGACAGCAACGATTGGCGTCCAACTGGTGACTATCGGCGATTGAACGCGAAAACCATTCCCGATCGTTACCCGTTGCTTCACATTCACGATTTGACAGCTACTTTGAAAGGTACAACTGTCTTTTCGAAAATCGACTTGGTTAAAGCGTATAACCAAATCCCTATGGCTACTGACGACATACCGAAAACAGCTATCATAACTCCTTTCGGACTCTATGAATTTTTGCGAATGCCTTTCGGTCTAAGGAATGCTTCTCAAACATTCCAAAGATCCATAGACGACGTTTTTCGAGGTCTCAACTTCGTACACGCGTATGTTGACGACTGTCTAATCGCAAGTCCGGACAGAGAAACACATCTCAAGCATCTGGACCTTGTTTTCGAACGACTACAAAAACATGGCATTACTGTAAACGTTCAGAAATGCCAATTCGGAACCGACTCATTAGACTTTCTGGGACACACTATCGATGCTCAAGGCATTCGACCTCTTAGGACCAAAGTGGCGGCCATTCTGGATTACCCAGAACCGACCACCGTCAAGCAATTACGCACGTTTAACGGCCTGGTAAGTTTCTATAGACGTTTCATACCGAAATGCGCATTACTTATGAAACCTCTGACCGACCAATTTCGTGGAAATGCGAAATCCATTAATTTAGACGACACCGCACGTAAAGCATTCTCCACAGTTAAGGAACCCATCGCAATGGCAACTATGCTTGCACACCAGGACACCCGAGTACCCATTAGTATCGCAGTAGACGCATCCGACTCAGCAATCGAAGGAGTCTTACAACAATGGGTTAACAACTCCTGGCAACCATTGGCATTTTTCTCTAGACGGTTGCTAGACACCGAATCGAGGTACGGCACATTCGGTAGGGAACTCCTAGCTATGTATTGTGCTGTACGGCATTTCCAACATTATATCGAAGGCCGTGAATTCACTCTTTTCACGGACCATAAACCGCTCACTTTCTCGTCAAGCTCTCCTTCTGACAAGTACTCTCCCCGTGAGTCTCGACAACTGGACTACATTTCGCAGTTTACCTCAGACATTCAACACATTTCTGGAGCAAACAATGTAGTTGCAGACGCTTTATCTCGTATAACTTCTTTGAACAGTTTCCAAGGAATCGACCTTCTTAAACTCGCCGAGCTTCAAAAAGAAGACAGTGATCTTCAGCACGAGTTATCGTCCACAACACTTAAACTACGCATCAAACAGATGGGAACAGGTAAGGAAACCTTACTTTGTGACACATCTACAGGTAGGGATCGCCCAATCGTGCCGAAACATTATAGACGCAATGTCTTCAACACATTGCACAAACTTTCGCATCCAGGTGTTCGTGCAACCATCA